GGTGTTGGACAGCGGGGAAGTTGTGAATGGCAGTGCCAGAAAGAACCATCGATGGTTGGGTCAGACTGCTTTGCATAAAGGCTGGTTGAGACCTACATAAAAATTAAGAGACTTTTGTTAAAAGTTAACTGCATCTGGAGTTGAGATTCAACAAGCATCCCATCAGGATTACACTGAAACACTTAAAAATAAACAAGTAGGCTGTAAAACTCTGGCTGCCTATCATCTTTAGAAGGCTCAAATCTATGTTTTTAAAAGTAAAGAATAAGTGAGTAAACAAATCAAAAGTGTCTCTAAAACCAACATTATCAATTAAGTTTTGTTAAAACTGACCCAATGTGGTAGGAACAAAACTGGAATGTTCTTTTAGGGTCACATGCAATCTTCAAAATGTCCATTTGTAATTTACGTTTTCATACATAAAAAGGGGAAAATGGATATAATCTATCCTTTCCACCTAAAAATGAGTTCAAGAATCTACATCAATAAGCTTTAATAAAGATACAGAAAGAGCAAACAAGTGATATGAAATGTTTAGGGATATAAATAAATATTTCAAATGTCTATCTGTGCCTTCCAATAAACATGGTAGCCACTAACCTATATTGCCTATTGAGGACCTAATGGCAAAGACTCAGTGAGAAAAACATGAAATAACTGGTTCAATCTAAACAATCTTAAAGGTATATCTTCCAAAACAAATACTAAAATGGGATAATATACAATGTCAGTGCTCTGTCACTCCAACGGCTCATGGCTATGAAAGACATTACTAATAAATCATTGTACTCTTTTCTATGACTTGACACTTTTCAACATTGTTTTATAAGGCAAACACAATTAAAGAGAGACTGGTTTGGAGATTAAATCCATTTCTGGATTAGAAATTAAAGCTTTATTTTTATCATAAAATCATCCCAAGAGTAACAATACATAAATGGAAAGACTGGAATAAAAGACTAAAGTCTACTTATTTATTACAACTAAAATTAGTTGTAATAGATGGTTTTTATTTCTACCAGGAGAGATCTGTTGGATAATACCGATGAACTAAAACCTAAAAAATTTTTAATTCAAACAAACACATGTAAGTACCACAATGATCAAGTTTACTAATGCTCTTTTGTCCTTTATCTCCTTATCTTCCAGCTACATTAACCTGTAAATCTGGAAAAAGGGCTGAATCTAGGCTCTTTCACTTATTTATATGGTAATCTTGGGTAAAATAACATTTTAAAGCCTCAATTTCCTCAAATGACTTACTTTCCTTTAAATGGCTGGGTGAGAACAAAACACCTACTATTCACTGCTGCTCAGTCGCAGCTGACCCTCCAGTGGGTTTCAGAGGCTGTAAATTTCTCTTGATATTTTATATAAGTTCAATGAAGAACAAAAAGTTTTCATTACTTCTTAAAATGCAGAGATAATGTGTCTCAGTGAATTTTTCAAAAGGATGTGTTCTCTGACATTACAGGACACATTTATCACTACTATCGGTCATTCTGCTATTGACCGTTGTAATATTCTACCTCCAAGATACTGTCGTTTTCTGTCATACTTTATTCTTACACGGAGAGGACCTAGTGAGAGATGTAGCAACCTACTTCCACATTGTCTTACAGTATTGCTAAGTTGGGACTGACTAAATGGCAATGGTCCTTATTTCCCCCTGCAATTTGTAACTGTTATTGAGTTGTTGCTCTCTTCTTCAAAATGCTTTGAGGCCTTGGTTGAACTTGGTTCAAACAAGGGCTGGTTGAAATAACCAGGCTAGAGTTAAAGACACATGATATATTATTTAAAAGTTAAAGACCATCTGAGCTTTTTGAGAAAAGAAGTAGGGATTAAATCAAGGTGGTTGAAGACTTTATTCTTTTAAAAATTACAGAAGTAATTCTAAATAAAGCATTTACCTATATGGTTGAAGTGAAGAACTGAATAATTCCTGAGCTTGGGAGACAGCAGGCCCAGCTCCTAAACTCAGTTGAGCTTGATGCTGTCCTTGC